CTGTTTAACTTTGCAAATAGTGCTGAGTTGAGCTGGACTCTAAAGGCACCCACAATCTTCTCAAGTACAATAGGGCAGTAGCCAAGCTTGGTGGTGAATGGCCATAATTCCAGATGCTCAGGAGGCTGAGGCAGGAGGCGCAGGAATCCCAGGCCTGCCTGTATCACAGAGGGAGATCCTGTCCATAAAAAGGATGGGTGGGGGGACACAAAGGGTCACTTGATTCAGAAATCCTCCCCGAAAGCTCTTCTGCTCATCCTGAAACAAGAGTGATCTGCAAAGCAGGGCCCCGCAGTGTGTGCCTGTAGTCCCAACAGTCCAGAGGCTGAGGCAGGAGCCTTGCTAGAGCCCCAGAGTTTAAGGCCAGTCTGGACAACACAGTAAGGGCCTGTCTAAAAGAAAAAGTGATTTGCAGACAAATGGGGTAAATCCAAGGTTGCAGACTGGTTGCCAGTGACATCCTCTTTGGAATAGGGACACGACGGTCCCTGTCTAAGACAGAAGAATGCTCAGAGCATGCGGAGTGCTCAGCGGCACCTGGCCACTGTCGCGATCACCTGTGGTCTCAGTGCTAGGAATACTTTATGAACCTCTGCAGCTCAAATAGGATCCAGCTCCTTCTCCCAATGGCAGGCCAAATTGCTTGGTTGTCCCCGGGTATACTGTGGCCAAGAACCGTTGTGAGACAGCCGTCCAGGAAGAAACGTCAAAGGCACGGTCACCTCTCGCTGTTAGTAAGCACTGGGCTTTGGCAAAGCCTATGTAGGTTTCAGAAGATACGGGTCTGACATTGCCTCTCCTGGGCATTTCTGTCACTGTAGCATCCATCCCTAGAAAGTCCATTTAGGCTGAGTGAAGAGGAAACAAGGAAGGTACCACTTGAGTTAGCGAGTTAAGAAGTGCTGGTGGGGATGTAGCTCAGTGGCACCACGCCTGCCTCGCAAGCACGAGGTCCTGAGCTCGATCCCTGGTACCAGAAAAAAAAGTTTTAGGTGCCCTCCATTGGGGTTCTGCCTTTTGCCTCTTTTCTGAAGCCCCATAAAGCAGACTATTTGATTATGTTTCTTTCTATAAAATCTTACTCTGAGAAAACCACCTTATAGACTTCTTCATACTACATATAAATGACTGTCGTGGCTTTATTTTAGCTCATTTTCATAAGGGAAAAAGCTTTCGAAGAAATGAATACAAATAAGAAAATGTGAGGGGAGCGGGTGCCGGGGGGCCCTCCCGGGACCTAGAAAGCCCTCTGCATGTTCTGTAGCTTTGCTGTGGCATGAAGGTTCAGGTGAGTTTGAACAGACTGAGCAACTTCTAAATCCTCCATCTTCTTCCTTTAAGTAGGAAAGTAGTCAAGGGCATGGTGGGAAGTGGGGGACAGGGGAGCTAGACAGAGCAGAGGTACATAAACTAATAATGGCTCGGGCCGGGGATTTAGCTCAGCGGTTCGGGGGCCCGCCTCGCAAGCGCAAGGACCCAAGTTCAATCCCCGGTACCAAAAAACAAAACAAAACTAATAATGGCTCTACGTGCACCAAAGACATTTTGCAAGGAAAACAGAGGTGCCAGGGAGGAGTGCAGAGCTGTCTCTTCACAGCAGGGCTTTAGTTTATGTGCTGCCAAAGCAAGCACAGCACAGCAGGACTTTAAATGTCATACGAAGGGACCCTGGCTTTGTAGGATTTAGGGGTATCTCAGCCACCTCCTTCAGACCTTTCCACCCTGTGGGACGTCCCAGGTCATGGTCAGTGTGTTCAAGAGGGGCTCATCTTGTGGGCAGGTGCAGCCAACCTGCATACTGTGCTGGGACTCCTCGCTCACCTCGTGGATAGTGACTAAAGGCCCAGACCCTGAGGGCTGAGGCACAGCAGGGTCGAGGAAAAGGTCTGGCAGGAGTGTCCGATGCCCTCCCATCCCAGCAGCTCTCCAGGTTCAGAATGATGTGATGCCAGGGTGTGACAGGCCTGGCCTCTGTGTCCACATTCCACGAGAGGAGTCAGAGCCAGTCCTGGAACACAAACACCAGTATATTTTATGTGCACACATATGAAAAGGGAGAGACGGACCAATGGAGACACAGCAGGCAACGCACACACAAACCAGTCATGTGTCTTTCTGAAGAGCCTCCCAGTTAGAAGACAGTCGACCCATTTCAAAGCCAGGGCCTGCAGCTCCTCCAGGTCTGGGCAGCCTGAGGGTGGACGGCTGTCTCCCTGCCTTAGCCATAGCTCAAGGGCTGACATCTCACCTACCTGCCTGCCCCGGCGAGTGTTTGTACAGCCCAGAGCTTCATAAATGCAGGTCCTCACATGAGCTGTTCCACTCAGCAGCAGCCTCCCTGGGAGACCCATGCAGAGCAGGGACCGGGACAAAAGGGCTTCGTGGGCACTCCCCAGGTATTATTGCTAAGAATAAGCAAGGGCCATTGTGACTCACTGGCATTGAGGAGGGGACAGGGCAGCGGAGTGTCCAAAGCAGCTGAACCATGCAGGGCAGCACACTCGCAGTCTGCAACTCAGAGCTGCCGTGGCCAGCACAGTGGCGCAGGATGCCAGTGGCTCAGCGGCAGCTTGGCAGGGCTGGGGTTACTCCAGACCCGAGCCCTGGGTATTAAGGGGATGGGGACTCTGAAGATACCACAAAAAACAAGAGTTTGAAGTCTGGGCTGCCTCTCATGAGATCTAAAGCTGCAGATCCTGTGGTCAGGTCACAGGCTGCAGTCTCCTGAGCTAGGGGCTCTGTGCCCTGAGGGCCACAGGGGCAACAGGGTACCTCACTGAAGCAAGACCACAATGCTGAACATTTCCAGGCAGGCAGGTTCAGTCCAGGAACTCTTGCGCTTGGGACTTGCAGGGCCCAGAGAGGAAATGGGAGTCTGGGAATGCCCACAAGGTGACATCGGGATGGTACACCCGGGCAGGCCTCCGCAGGCCGCATCCCGGCTGAGTTAAGGAGGTCTTACTCTAGGAGACCTCCGCAAGCTGGCGCCTGGGTTCATTCGTAGAAGGGGAGTTGAAGGTAGGTGGCCTGGAGGGGTGTCAGGGCACAGGAGACTGTGACAACATGGAGCCGGGGGAAGGTACCAAGGAAGTGATTGCCCAGCAGGAAGAGGAAATCCTCCTACCTATAGACGGAAGCAATTCACCCCGACTCTGTCCTCCTAAAAGCCCTGTGAATGAGGCCATAACAAAACCTAAGGTAGGCGGGACGAGCCACCAACACCAGAGATTGCCATCTGAGGAGCCTCTGCAGGAAACAGGCTGGGAAAACACCATGCCTCCCGCCCCTGACACGGAGAACAGCAGGAAAATGCCACCCAAGGTTGGGTGTCTAAACCCTTGTCCTGTCTCAGGTCACACCTCTTACCCACACTGGCTGGTGCTGCCCATCTACTCCAGGTGAAGCAGAACAAGGAAGAGGAGATCTCTCCACAAGTGGTACCGTCACTTTTTAATGATCTACAAGAAGGGCAAGGCTAATTTCTACCTCAGTCCTAATGTGGTCAAGGTGAGACCACGTCCCACAGCGTGGTCCACTTTTGGAAGGACCCCTCTCCGTGGAGGATGGGGGAGAGAGCCAGAAGGGGCTGCAGTGAGGATGTTACCTGTCCACTGCCAGCAATGGATCTGTCACGGGGAAGAGAGAGACCACTAAGACGATGATGACCGTGAGTGTGGCAGGGATAACACTGTTTGAGAAGCAAGCTCAAAGGGTCAGCCTTGCCAGGAGGGTCAGCGGGAGGCGCAGCCCTGAGGTTTAGCTGCAGAGCTGGGGCCATGGTAGAACCAGAATGGACCCCTTCGTCCTGTGAGGAAGGCTCCAAAGAGCTTTCTGTGGTCCTCTTTTTCTTTCTCTTTCTTCAGGGGTCTCCAACACTGGATACCTGCTCTTCCGTGCCCTAGAAAGCTACTTTGCCTCACTGGCTTGAAAATAAACCAGTACTGGCAAATAGGACTCTGTCTCTCCCCCCACTATGCTGACTTGTCCCTTGGGCCCACTGTGCATTGGGGGCTACCTCTGTTCTTAGCAGGGCCCTTGCAGGGAGGGGACACTGCCCAGCAGCTCACCAGACCAGAGCTGAGGAGGCAGAACTCAGGACCTCCCTGTCATCGGGCCAGCAGGAGGAGTGGAAGCTGCAAAAAGGCTGCCTCAGGGCTCAACCCCTGGCTGCTGCCATGTCAGTTAGGGAGCTGGGACAGAAGGGCAGGTGTGGTGACAGACACTGATAAAAGAGCTACTAGTGGTAAAGGCCTTGAAAACAAGAAAAAAGGGGAAACGCCACCGAACACACAGGGACCGAAACCTCCAAAAGCCCAAGGTTGGTGGGAATCCAGCACCACAGGGGCCCCCAGAAGGCCAAGGGAGCAGCGTGGGGCCCTGGGGGAGGGGAGAGGAGCCAGGGGAAGGTTCCCAGCACCTGCAGACCAGCACAGCTGCTAAGCAGCTTGGTGGCTACAGGGTCTCTCTTAGGCTGCAGCTCAGCAGGCCCCCGGGGAGGTATTGGTTGCAAGCAAGCACCTGAATATTGCCTAATGGAACCAGCCAAAGCCCAGCTAAATCCGGGTGAGGGAGGGAGGGGGCTGCAGGAGCAGCCCAAAGCCTTGGCAGACCTTGTCTCTCACCTTCAGCCCCGTTCACAGTGTCCCCTAGTCAAGACAGGGCCTATTGCTTCCTAAGTCATCCATGTGGTCCAGTTGTTGCCCAACCACATGGCTCCTGCCACCAGTCCCCGGATGGGTGGAGATGCAGGGACCCTTCCCAATGTCTTCTGTTGCCTCGACACCTGACCCCCCACGGAGGCTATGGGGCTGTGTGCGCCCTACCAGGGCGGGGCTTGTGCCGAACTGAAGAAGCAACACCACCGGCTTGGTGTTTTTGTCCATGGGGCCCATGAGAGTTGCCCAACCACATGGCTCCTGCCACCAGTCCCCGGATGGGTGGAGATGCAGGGACCCTTCCCAATGTCTTCTGTTGCCTCGACACCTGACCCCCCACGGAGGCTATGGGGCTGTGTGCGCCCTACCAGGGCGGGGCTTGTGCCGAACTGAAGAAGCAACACCACCGGCTTGGTGTTTTTGTCCATGGGGCCCATGAGAGAGCAAGAACCAGGGCACGGCGTACTCCAGGGTGATGAGGCCCATGAAGTCGAAGTCGAACTGGGAGTAATCCCAGGGGCAGGCGTTGAACTGGCGTAGGATGAAGCCGGTGGTGAACTCCCACAGGTAGGTCCAGAGCGTGTAGATGAGGCAGCGCAGCAGGAGTGGGCAGCGACCCCGCAGGCGCAGGTACATGCGCTCCACGATGAGGATGGAGGTGCCGTAGATGAAGAGGGCCCACACGCTCGTGACACCCGGGAACTTCCAGTTAAAGTTCACCACAAACTCCCAGGCTGCCGTGAACATCACCTCGCAGAAGTAGCCATGGATGGCGTACAGGTACCAGCGGGACAGCGCCGTCAGGGGCTCGGCAGAAGCCATGGCACTGGCTGGGGCCTGCTGCAGGGGATACAAAGCGGGCAGGTGAGGGAGGGAGGGAGCCCCCACGCTGCCTTCCCGTGGTCCAGGCCCGCCAGAGGGGATCTCAGACCTTCTCTACGTTTCTTCTCGGGATGGCTATTATACCTGACATCCCTTCCGAATTATCTGTGGTCAGCTGAAGCACAGGCTGTGTTAGGTCACCAGTCACCCCAGTGCTAAGCTACCATTCTGAAAGGCTGCCACAGTGTTCACATTTTACATCGCCAGCTGCAATGCCCACCGTTCTAGCTGCTCTACATCCTCGCCAGGGCTCGTGCTCTCCATCTTCCCCGTAAAGGCCACGCCCGCGAGCTCCCCAGAGCAGCACGTCCCAGCTGTCCCATGTCTTTCACAGCCACCCCAAAGGAGTTTCGGTGTTCCGTCTCAATGTTGACGGGGACCCAGTGGGCTGAGTGAGCGGGGTGCTTCTCCCCTTCTCCCTTTCATCCTCCTCCCCCATTCTTGCCACCCAGAGAGGGTCTCCGTCCACGTCCAATGCCACCCTATTCTCTTCCTGACCTATGTGCCCATGTGGCACGACCGGCCTGGCGACTCCCTGAGGGCAGGTGTATGACAGCCCACTTTGCAGTCGCCGGCCCAGGCCTCTCTAAATGATATGTCCCGTTTACGCAAAGGTCGGTAGGGGAAGAGTTCGGGCGGCACGAACAACAGGAAGCTCTGCCAGCTGCCAGTGGACACCTGGCTGGACACCTGTCAATCACCGCTCTGAGGCGGAACAGGGAACAGAGGTAATGAGATGAAGGAGGTGCTCTCCTACCTGTCTGGTGTCATCTTTCAGTCACCACGGGCCACGAAGGAATAATACCCACCCTGTACACCTCTGTGTTCTTCCCAGCGCTTTCGTCACATTTTCTCACTGGTTCTGGTTCATTTACACCTCTTTTTTTTTTTTTTTTGTACTAGGGATCGAACTTAGGACCTTGCATTTGCGAGGCAGGGGTGGTGCCGCTAAGCTAAATCCCCAGCTCACTGGTTCTTTTCTTGTGTGTGTGTGGTTTTTTGTTTGTTTGTTTGTTTGTTTTTTTGGTACCAGGGATCGAACTCTGGTCCTTGTGCTTTCAAGGCAGGCAGTGGAACCACTGAGTTAAATCCCCAGCCCTCACTGGTTCTTAATTAGGATTCATGTGAAGGATATTTCACTCTCACATTTTTTTTTCCAGTCCTCGGGATCAGCTCCGGGACCTTTGCAACGAGCAAGATCCCTAGCCCTTGTAAAATTTTGGACAGGGTCTTGCTAAATGTCAACGTTTCCCAGGGTGGGAAACTTGCAATCCTCTTGCCTCAGCCTCCTGCTCAGGAGGTAATACCTGAAAGCTGGTATTACTAGTATATGCCGCCATGCCCAACTTTATCTCACACTGTAGGTGCAGCAGGTGGGGCCCAGAGAGGGGACATCACCTGTGCATTATCCCAGGGCCAGTAAATGGAAGATCTCAGACGAGAACTAACATCTCCTTGATTCCTCCTTCAAAAGTTCACCCCATCTCCCAGACATGTACCTCTAGTCACTGTCCCACTCAGACACATTCAGTGGCTCCCCTTTTCCTAATGAAATACCACCCCATCTTTGGCCTGGCATTCCAGGCACTTTGTGATCTCTCCCCAGTCTACTTTGCCAGCCATATTCGCACCATCCAGCTCCCTGCCTCACCTCCATACTTTGCAGATCCTACTCACTCGCCCTCTTTGGCGATGCTCCACAAGCACAAATCCAGTATACGGCGATCTTCAGGACAAAATCTTTCCTCTCCTCAGTCACAGATTCTCTCTTCTGAGTTACCACAGACTGTTATCAGATTGTTCTATTATGTTGATATCCAGTCCAGAGCCAGTCCTCTCTCCTCTGTTCCACACCTATATATACTGCTCTTTCCTGGTCACCTCTCCCTGAGCGTCTCACAGATACCTCAAACCAAACTCTTATCTTTCAGCCCAACCAGTTTGCCTCCTCTGACTCTGCCCTGACTAATGGCACCATCATGTACCCCGTCATAAGCCAGAGGCCCTGAGCCACATCCCCACTTGAACCTGAGCTCCTGAGAGTAAGGACCCGTCTGTCTGGTTCAGCACGGTGTCCCCAGGGCCTGGCACAGGGCCCAGCATGCAGTTAACATTCAACACAAGGTCGAGGGATGTCTCAGTCACGGTTCCCTCCAACAAACCCCTAAACCTGGAGGCCTAAAGGCCTATCATCTATTACAGCAGCTCCTGTGCCCGTGGCTGGCAGACTGCTGCCCTTGATCGGGAGGCTGAGTCACTAGGGCTCTGTTTGGTGCCTGGCTGGGGAAGCTGGGCCGTGGCAGCTCTTTTCCACTAATCTCTGTTCCCCACCCTGGCCCAGCAGACTGGTTCTGGGCACAGTCTTCTCGTGATGAGGGCAGTGGCACAAGAGCAGGCAAGTCCTGCTGTACATGTGTTCTCCAAGACTCTGGCCAAGTGGGGAGGGGAGAGAGGGTGATTAATGGGTACAAGGCTGCAGCTGAATAGGGGGAAAAATAAGTCGTACATTGCAAAACAATAGGGAGGATTTTAAATGTTATCAAAGGAGTGGTAAATGCTTAGGAAATGGGTATACCAGTTACCCCAGTCTGATCATCACACACTATGTACGTGTAATGAAATGTGACACTGTATCCCATACATATGTACAACTACCACAAATCAGTTAAAATTTTTAAAAATATTAAAATTCTTTCTAAAAAAAATCTCAAAGATACTCGGGAGGCTGAGGCAGGAAAATGATAGTCCCATTTTTCAAAAGGCTCTGGTTAAGACATACATACTAACAGCTCACGGGCCAAGCCAAATCACGTTGCAAAGCACACACTCCGGCCCTTTCTACCTCTTACATCTCTTTGAAATTCATCTCCTCTTCAGTCATCTCTGCTCATTGCTCCTGTTCTGGCTCAGGCCCTCGTCATGTCTCCCTAGATAATGTCTATCCTCCCCTTGCTCCCTTCCAGTTCAAATTGCATGACACACGCCAGGCGTGGTAGAACACAACTACAATCCCAGCACTTGGGAGGCTGAGACAGGAGGATAACCACAAGTTTGAGGTCAGCCTGGGCTGCATAGAAAGACCCTGTTCAGGAAAGAAAATTCCAAACCAAAATATGCACACTGTAATGAAATGAAAAAAAAAAAAAAAACAAAGGTGCACTGTTAAAAAAACAAAACAGGGCCAGGGATTTAGCTCAGTGGTTCTGCCACCTGCCTTTCAAGTGCAAGGTCCCGAATTCGATCCCTGGTACCACCAAAAAACAAAAACAAAAACAAAACAACAACAACAACAAACAAACAAAAAAACAAAACAAAACAAAAAACAAATCGCAAGATGCAAGTTGTATAGAAAGAGCAATCTTTTAGCTAACTGTAGGGGTGCACATCTGTAATTTCAACACTCAGGAAGCTGAGGCAGGAAGATTTCAAGTTCAAAGCCAGCCTGGGCTATGTAGAGTTGAAAGCCAACTTGGACTATGCAGGGAAACCCTGTCTCAAACCTCCTGTTCTGCAAAAGGGCAATCTTTCTATGGTAATCTCATGTTTCTCTCCGCTTAAAGCTCACTGGTGGATCTTCAATACCTACATTCCCTTGGGATGGCTGGAAAAGCCCCATGCAGCCCGACTCTGCCCTGTGCCCACTTTCTGGACTTCTGTGTTGCTGTCTCTGCTCCCTGGGATGCCCTTCCCACCTGCCACTCTTGCCTCCTCCATACCCTGCCATGGACCATGAACCCCAAATCCTCCTCTAAGACTCCAGAGTCGTTTGCTGCCCAATCTGCCAGCCCCACACAGCAACAATTAGTGTTTGGCTCTGCCATGCTTCATCTAAGGCCAGCACTAGTAGCCACTCGAGGAACATTTCATACAATATTAAGACAAAAAGGCAGGATTCAAAACTGAGAATTTAATATGATTCTGGTTTTGCAAAAATGTCATCCATCCATGTAAATATGCAAGGAAATGACCAGTGATCTTATTTATACATGAGTCTAATTTATAATTTCCTGTATACATTAAAATCCTTCCTATCAACCAAGCATGACTTTTAAAAAATATTAAAAATGTTTGTTTGGGGATAGGAGTAAAGTTCAGTGGTAAGCACTGGGTTTGATCCCAAGCATTATATAAAAACAACAAAATGCTTGTTACTGGGGTGTGGCAGTGTGCGATTATAATTTCAGCACTCTGGGAGGCTGGAGCAGGAAGATTCCAAGTTTGAGGTCACCTGGGAAATCAGTGTGATCCTGTCTCAAAGAAGGCAGCCCAGTGGCAGAGCACCCCTGGCTTCTATCCCAGTGCTACAAGGAAAAAACAAAAATAAAAGCTTGTTGAATGAGGATTTTTTAATCCTCTTTGGACCTTGTATATAAAGCCAAACGGAAATCTGCAGTCATGTAAAGTTAATGCAGGTTCTTTCCTCCTGAGTCGTGCCCATCAAGACCCACAATGCCCTGCCTCGTACTCTTCAGCCATGAGATCTAAGACCAATGCCCGATTGCTCCATGCCTCAGTTTCCTGATAGACTGTCCTGTGAGGACAGTCGAGTAACCACCACAACTACTGTGAGGATGGATGAGCTCATGGATATTCACCACCCAAAGGCTGCACATCCTCCAGAAAGGGTAGCTGCTCTTTTCAGGCTCTGGACAGACCCTCCTGCTTTGAGGACCACCTCCTCCTGGGCTGGGTCACAGTGCCCTTGCCCTCCCAGCCTTGGGGCAGCCTTCCCTGCCAAGCAGGCCACCTCCTGACTGTGGAAACTCTGTGGATACATACAGCGCCCTCTCAGGGACACAAAGCCCCCACATATAGCCCAGGAGGACAAACGAGCAGCCAGCTTCCCTGGGTTGAGGAGGCTGAGTTCAAGAGGATGGGCCTCAGAGCCAGCCCCCTGAGGGTCAGGCTGGAAAAGCGTACAGTGAAAAGACTAGCATTCCCAGCATAGCATCTCACACCTGCATTTTATCCAGAACCTTCCTTCCCCAGGTGAGGGGGACCAGGACTGGGCTGTAGGAACACAGGAGGTACTGAGAGACACTGAGACAGATGACCCAGGCACAGTGATCTGGAGACCACTCGGCCTCCTGGCCCAGGGCAGGCCCTTCTTCACGTCGTTCTGTCTGCTGTCCTGCATACACAAAACCCTGGCTCTCTCTCTGGACAGGGGGAAGTGGCTCCCTAGGGTCCTGGCTGAGGAGAAGGGGGTTCCTACTCAGAAATGTTTTTCTACAGCAGCCTGGCTCAGGCCAGCCCCAGCTGACTTTAAACCCTGGGCCCCTTCCCTCTGATTTAACGTGTCTGGGCAGCCAACAATGGCTTCCCCGTAGGTCACAAATCAGAGATTCTCCAGCCTTTCCCAGCTGACCTGGAAAAGAGCTGGACCCCAATGCCCTATCAGCAGAAGCAAGATGAAACGAGTAGTCAACAAAGGGAGAGCGCAAGCCCAGGTGAAAGAGGGCAAACTGCACAGAAAGGAGGTGAAGGAGAGGACAGGGGGAGCCCCAGACTGGATTCCATTTCTGGCAGGTGGTAGAAAGCATACTAAAGAAAATCAGACCTTGTCCAATGAGCTGTGCTAGGAGAGCACAGCAGGTCCACACAAGATAAATGGGGCTGGCTGCAAGACACGCTGGGTGCAGAAGATGGAGTAAAGACAAAGGGATGAGACAGAGTCCTTAGCTTAACGGGGTAGGAGATGTTAAAGTTGGAGGCTGGGGCTTTGGCTTGGGAACATGATCAGAGCACCACTCCTCAGCCCCATTTCTAATAATCACAGGAGCTGTGTGATTTTGAGCTAGGACAGGCTCACCACCCTCTGCTGAGCTCCAGAGGACTCTGCTCCCCGCCCTGGTCACCTTCCCCCACTAGTTCCCCTTTATGCCTGGGCTCCTTCCAAACACCTGCTTGCTCAGCCCTGGAGTCAGCGCCATGAGAAAGCCTGCGGCAGAAAGACATAGCAGCTCAACAGACATTGGCCTCTCGCTCCTAGTGACAGCACAGCCATACTGAGGACTGTGACATGAAATGAAACCTGGGCTGTTCAGGAAAGAAAATTTCAGGAGTGTGGATAGGATTGGAACATGAGAAAATCATTTGGAGAGTAGTAGGCAGTTTTAGAAGCAGGGTTTATGGGAAGGGCACTCAATTGTAAGAGTCCTTGTGCTTGTTGATACAGAGCCTGGGAACACAGTGTCCTCGTAAGGGCTAGAACTCAAGGTGACATGTCAGAGCAGGACGTAACCCTCCAAGGGAAGAGGCACTGAGGACGGGGAGCTGGCTCTCAGTGTCCTGCTCCCTACGAGCATCGCACCTGCTGCTCTCAAAGCCTGCTGAGCTCCTCACAGGGTGGCCAAGGACAGAATGGGCAGCAGACAGGGGTGAAGCCCTGAGTCTAAGCCAGATGGGAGACTGCCCTTGGTCTAGCCAAAAACTCTCACTCCGGGAAGTACGGTGCCATAACAGTGATGCTGGAACTTCTTGCTCAGAAAAGCCTCTTGCTAGAAGATTGAGATCCTCTCGCCTCACGGCCAGGCTGGGTGAACCTTCTTTCACCCCATTCACTTCCCAAGCTCCTGTCCCCATCCTCAGACACCTAAATCACTACAGTCCCTTGCTCTGGGGAGGTGCATGGTCCTTCTAGAAGGCCCCTAGAGAAAGGCAGTGAGGGACACCTTAGGACAGCCTGAGTCCAGACCCCAGATTCAGTGCAGGGGCTCAGCAGGGTCGATGAGGGGAGGGCAGCTGAACGACATGTGGGGTAAGTTACACGGTCTGCAGTGGTCCTGAGATTCCCAAGTGGACTTCAAGCAGTGGGAAGGAAAACACAGACCTGCCTCAGGACCTGAAGAAAAGAAGTAGAGAAAAATACTTACAGTCTCTGGCTGGCTCAGTTGCCACTGAGTTTCACCCCTTTTACTGTGGGCACCTCTCAGGATTAGTCCCTTGGATCAGTGATGTGGAAGGCCTTTCCCCTATCCCAAGCCATAATAATAACAACCACATTTTTTTCTCAGCACTTTCCATGTATTAAACTAGAAAAACCTCAAGCCCATTTTACAGACAGGGAAAGTGAGACAGAGACAGGCTGAACAGTTAGCCTACGTTCTTGCAAGTATAAAAGCTAAATCTGGGATTCAAACTGCACAAGTTTGGCTCCAGAGTGTTCACCTCTCACCAGCATGCTGCACCCTACCCTGACGGCTTACTGAAATGGATGGCATCTGGAGAAACAACTGAAAGTAGGAAGGCAGAATACTTCTAGGAGGATCATTAATGAAACTGAGAACTGTATGTTTGCATTACCAGGACTCCCAGCCTATCTGTTGGGCCAAATTCTGGCAGGATCCACACAAAAGTCATCCAGGGTCAACACTGACCTTCACAGGGCCTCAGTGGCTATTCAAGAGCCCTCACCAGGACACATCATCCGTAGTCTCTTTTACCTCCCACCTGCCCTGCTCTGTAAACTTCAGATGGCCCAGCTGATTATAGATAGCTAAGTTAGGTAGAAATATTACAGGCAGTCATTTAGGGTTGGACCCTCAACAGAGTCAGTGCAAAAGATGAAGACACACTACAACCATGGCCACAGGTGCATCTGTTGGAGACCAGGTCTGCAGATAAAGACAAGAAATGACCAGACCTGCATACTTCCCAAAGGACAAGATAAGCAGTAACACCTGGCCTAATGAAGTCTAGATCAGTCATTCCAGTGGGTGACCAAGACCTCTGGACACATTACTTCCTAGAAAAAGTCTTTGTTCTTTTCATGCACACTTGTTATGTGACTTGTTTCCCCATTTCACTATTACCTAAGCGACTGCACTTATAGCCTTATTGGTTGAGCACAGCTTTAACCCACATGGTTTTTGCTCTATAAAACTTCCCCTGAAAAGTGGGGTCCTCAGCTACCCATTTGGGACCACTCCTGTCTCTCTGGAGCTGTCCTCTCAATAAACACTCCCTACTGTTAACCTCAGTTGTTCCTAGAATTCATTCTTTGATTTTAGAGAACACAAACTCAACGTACCAGACATCTAACAGGTTGAGAGTTATAATATTTTCCTTATATCATTTAGAGGTCCTATTTCATCTCCTACATCATCCCTGTAATCATGATGACACCAGCCAAGAGCAGGGCCTGCAAGTGGGCTGCCCAGGGGAGCCATCCGCCCTGAGTGGCAGCAGCCAGCGTGTCTGAGACAACCATTCCACACAGCAGGCTTTAGGGAGGCTCAGATTCTAAGCAAATCCCAGCAGGGAGGCACAAGTGGCTGTTGGTGGGGAGCCGGCAGGCTGGGAATCTTCTGCACTGCCTAAAATGTCCTCGGATCGTCATTCACATGGCTGCCTCTCCACTGTCATTCTGGTCTCGGTTCAGCTGTCACCCCTCTGAGACCCTCTCTGGTCCCCCCAATCCAAAACAGCTTCCCTCTTCACCCTCATCATTTTCTTTACATCATTTTCAGTTTCTAATAATATTCTGCTGATTGTGTATAGTTTTTCTCTCTCCAATTACAACAAAGCTGTTTTACTCGGTTGGTGGGCAACCAGTGCTTCGAATGGTGCCCGGTAAGAACACCTAATATTATCTGTGAGATGGATGGGTGGATGGGGCCACGCAGTGATGAGGCAGGTGTCACGCTTTAGATCTAAAATGTTCCTCCAAATGCTCATACGTTCAGAAGAAGGACTTTGGGAAGATGACTGGATCTGGATCACAAAGGCTCTTATTTCACCCCGGCGAGATTAGAAGGTGGTGGCACTGCTCGGGGTTAATGGACGCAGGAGATGAGAGGCCTTGTTGTTGAAGGAAGTGGGGCATGACCTTGGGGATGACATCTGGTCCCCGACTCCTGGCTCTCCGGCTCTTTCCCTCTCTCTCTGCTTCGTGGTTGCCAGGAGGTGAAAAGCTCTCCTTCACCATGCCCTTCTGCCATGATGTTTCTCGGAGTCAGCTGGAAACCAAGCTAGCTGGCTCAGCCGTTTTCCTCGCTTCTCCTTGCAATGTCTCCATTACTGTTTCTCCAATTACTAAAGTAACATGTGCCCACAGGTGAAATGTGAACTATCAATGGTACATTCTCTAGCCGCCTGGATTAAATTGTTTTATCTCTATGTTTTCCTTTTTTTTTTGGTACCAGGGATCGAACTCAGGTCCTTGCACTTGCGAGACAGGCAGCGGAACCACTGAGCTAAATCCCTGGCCCCTGGATTAAATTGTTTTAAAAGAAGCCAATCCATGCACTACAGAAAGGAAAAGCATTCAAACTAACAGCACGATCATTTCTCCCCTCACAGCCTTGCCCCATGTGCATTTTATGTTACTATAATGTACTTACTCTAACCTGCCACTTTCCCTTACTTCATCATAACTATTTTTCCAAGTTGCTATACAGCCTGTGTGCTCATTATTATAGAGCCTAATATTCCACCAAGTGGAAAACTGTAGTTCTTTTAACTGAGATGTTCAACGAAGGGAGCAGATACTTCCTACTTCCACAATTACAGCTTCTGGAGTCCATGTGGCTATAAGATGCTTCTCCCAAAACGACAGCCTGAAAACACTCACCCCCTCCCACTCCATAACTGTAACCTTGCTGGGCCCTTCGACAGGAAGCAGGCTCAGAACTAAAACCCCAGGCCCAAGCCCATGAGGCTGGGGTACAGGCAGGCTGGTGATCGATCCCTGGGTGCCTGAAACCTACTCACCGATCACAGCTTCGAGTGTGTGGTTCCGAAAAGACATGAGGATCCCTGTGCAGGACTGTGCCAGCTTAACCTCTGTCCTGGTGCCAGAATGGGCCTTGGTACTTTTCTCAGCAATGTGGGCAAGCATCAGCTCCAGGATTCAGCTGATGGGCAGGTGGTTTCCATGTGTCCCTAAGAACAAAAGAGGAGGACTTCGTTAGCTTCATCCACCCCAGCTCTGGACTACCAGGCCAGCTGGAAAGGCAGAGTCCAAGCAGGACCAGTGCACCGAGGCCCCTCTCCTGGAGCCTGCATTCCATCTGTGTCCTGTCTCTTCTGGTCATGTTAATCCGGGAAGCCTGGGATGGTTACTGGAAATCCACAAGTTGGGTTAGAACTTGGGGCTTCTTGTACTATGAAAAAATGCTTTCACCTTCATCCCCCAGGCAGGAAGGGTAGTTGAGAACCTCACGGAAGACAAACAACGTAGGATATTTGTTTTAACATTTTGAGAGTTACGTACAAGCAACACAGAAAACCAGATAAGCACAATGTGTGCTAAAGCCCTCTACTGGCAACCCACCACCCTGATATTTGTCTCATTTTATTATCTACCACTGTCATTACTGAGGCCCTTCCTCTTAACACTGACAACTAGCTGTAAGCTGATATAAACCTTACTTTACACAGCCCTTTCCTATATACATGTTTTTGATAATCTCCCTGAAACTGGACACATTTTGCTCTACTATGAAGTTATGGTGGCTTCCCCGGAAACTCCCTGGCACAGAACCATCTGCAGAGCCCAAGGATGGGACTTGAGCCTGCTCAGAAGCTGAGAACAGTGTGTGACTGCAGGAGGAGGTGGCACCATCGCTCCATGGTTTGGCCACCCAAGCTGACTGGACCATAGAGGTACCAGCCTGGACCTTCCTCCCCTCTTCCACCTCCCTCAAGCAAATCCTCTCCCCTCGGTCCCTGTGAGGCAGCAGAGTATCTGAGCAGTGTAAGGGCGGGAGAGGTGGAGAACTGAGATGCACCCTGTGCTCGTGTACTTCTGTGGGGGACCCCAGGTTTCCCCCAGGGGCCTGCACAGAGAAAAGTGAGGAGCAGAGGGTGTGGTGTGCACTGGGCTGCTGGGCTTAGCCTGGCTTGTCCCGCCCCAGCTCATCCACAAACAGGCGTCTTCAACCCTCTCCACTGTTCGTTCTCCTCTTCCTCCTCTCCCAGCCACCTGATGGGGGGCAGCCGTCACCCTGGAACATACCTGTCATCGGGAGGGAAGAGCCTTAAGTGCCCGTCCAATACCCCCCGCCACCAACACATCAGGTCCCACAGCCTGGGGAGTTCAGTTTCCCCCACGGGCACTTCCCCTTCTCAGGGCCCTAGTCACGCAGCAGCAACAGCACAAGTCAAAAGAGAAACAGAAACCAAAGACCACATCCTGCCAGAGAGTCTGCAGTCTGCACTCAGCCCTGGAAGCTGCTGGCCGGCTGAGGTGCTGTGGAGCAGATGAAGCTGCAGTGGTCAGAGGAGACCCCTCCTGCTGCCAGGCTCTGGCTGGACACCCCCTTCTCCCCAGTCTGCAAGGGCCGTGCAAGCCCACACACCGCGGGGCGGAGGAGACGCTGGAAGAGCGGACGTATGGCTTCCTCCTGCAAGTGCACAAGCTGTCCTCAGCTTCCTCCGACACTCCCTGTCCCCCATGGAGACGGTGGCCCTGAAGATCCTGTGTGGACTACGTGACCTGGAGCGTATGACTGTGTGGAGGCCCTCCCAGTAATTTACATGTATGCTGAATGGAGGCTTTTTCAAGCCTGCCATTTTATGATTCTCTACGAACTCCCCGAGGGCAGGAAGGGCAGAAGGAACCACCTCCATTCTGGGCACAGGAACACCAAGACAAAGGACATTAAGAGAATTGCCCAGATTCGCACGTCTGATGCAAATCCCATGCACCTTTCCCCAAATAGCACATCTTCCACCTAAACCTCATCCTTAAGGCATATGTGCGTGTGTGATCCACCCCATGCATCCTGTGAGCCACTTAGTTTGCAAACACGGAGCTGAGGTTTTCCATCATGCCTGAGGTGCTCCTGGGAGATGGAAGGAGCAGGAGCCATGTGCAAATTCACACCTGGTCATCTCCTGCCTGCCTCTGCAGCCCACCTACTCCCACCTCTTCCAGGACAGCTTTCACCTTGGTGAGGCCACCCACAGCATCCAAGTTATCCCTTCTCTGATGCTCCCTGGGGACTGTGACTCTGCTTCCTTTGGTACGTGCTGTCCCACCTGAAAATGATTTTATGTGGGTCTGTTTCCCTCACCACATAGTGAATTCCTGGAGAACACACTATTCCTGTTGGACAGATGGACAAGCAAGCTGGAGAAGTATCCAGCTAATATTGCGTGATGAGGTCATGCAGTGTATTAACGAAGCCTCACAGTGTAGTCTAGTTATAATAAATTGGCAGTTTTAGTGCAGCCTAATGATAAAAGGATAAAAGAGCAACATCAAGCAGCTAAGCCAAATTTAGAGATGCAAAGGTAAACACAAGAAGGATAAAAGCTACAATGAAAAGGGAGATAAAAACTTTTCCTCACAGGAAGAAGATATGCTAAATTAGTTGACAGTTCCTCCCTACCTCCTGAGGACCGGATTTCCATGGGACTTCAACCAGACTTCAACTGGACTCAGAAAACATTAGAAATGCGGAACAACCAGTTTCCTTTGAACTCATTTTCCTGTGAACCAGATAAATAATGAATTTCCTTTAAATCTTAAACCCAGAAAGTCACCCGTTTAATAGACTTCTATTCCGAATCCTCTCCTGTGGGTATCCGTCAAGAGTTTTTTTCCTTCTTCTTTCTAATAAACACTCCCCTAAATTTCTCCTTTTGTCCTCAAATGCTTCAGTTTTGGAAGACAAAACAATTGGCTTTATACAAAATCAACTGTCTCCGTAATGTCTGGTTGTCTGTCTCTAATTTCTAGGGAAAGGACTCTCTTCCACTAAGCCCCATATACGTGGGCCTGCAAGGGTCAAGGCAGATGAGAGGAACAAGAAGAGTGCTCAAGCTCCTTTCTCCCAGCTCCAAACACCATCACATGGACTGAGAGGTGACGGAGACCAGAGCGGGTGGCTTGGGTCTGGATACTACAGAAGACCTGTCCAGTGTCACATCAGGAGGGCGGGGACCATCCCAAGAGACAGACCATCCCAAGCATCCGGGCAGACACTGCAGCTCCTACAAAGGCCAGAATAACAACACCTATTCTGTTACTGCTACGTCGTGGGCACTTTCCAAAAGCATAGTCAGTTTTCTTGCACAAGGTTTCACTTCATGAAGAAGTTTCACCAGCAGCTGCTGGTGAAAAATTCCCCCTGCATCATTTTCTCTCTATAACTGGGGTAAGATGGGCTTGCAGGATTGAATCTCTGCTTCTCTGAGCAGAACCCTAAATCCTCCCACCCCCTGGAACTAAAGACCGGAGCTAGGAAGTGTGCAGGCAAACACCACCCGCTTTCTTTCCCATTCTCCTCGGTCTTAACCCTCCCATTTCCCAGTAAAGGAAAACATACAATATTCTCACACTGATCACACAGTACTTCTTGACCAGATGTGTGGGTCCCCCCTCTTCACATACACTCAAGAGTATCTGTCTGCCTGGAGTAATGGCGGATCCTGTTATTTTGAGAACTCAGGCTCACAAAACTGTCCCCACCATGGATGTTAATCACAAGCTCTAGGTTATCACCTGGGCTTCTCACTGGCTACAAACCAGGATTCACATTTCCCTTTCTTGGGTCTGATTAATTTGCTAGGATGGCTCTCAGAACTCAAAAACAAGTGTCTTTACTGGAGCAGCCAGATGCAGATGTAGACAGAGCAAGGTATGGGGCGGGGCTGCTCACCGCCACACTCAAATACCTCTGTGTGTTTGGCATCTGAGAGTTCATCAAATATCGTCCAAGAGTGTTTACAGAGCTTGATCTCCGGCCTCCTCACCTCTGACCTTTTGGTTGATGGATGGGGATAAAAGTTCCAAACTTGAGATCATCCGATCACTTGGTCTTTTTGTGATTGGCCCTATCCTACAGCTAAGAGGGGTCCCTGCCTAAGCACTTCACTAGCAAAGTCCCAATAAGGAGCACCCTGTTCATTCAAAGTGCCCCTCACCCTCATTCTCTCCACATGACCAACTGCTTTTCTTTATCTGCTGGTATGACCAGCCCAGGGCACTAGTGAATTTGGCAACTTTCCAAACCAAAGAGTAACCACACTCAGCTACAAATGCTACTGGTGTGCTAAATCCACCTCCCGCCAGAAGAAGGGCTGTGTCTGGCCAGGCCCCCTGGGAAGCAGGGGGTTGTGGAGGGAATGGCAGCCGGCCCCACCGTCCTTCCACTCCCTGCCCTTGTGCTGGGCTTGCCCTCTGGATTTCCCAGCCTGCCTGACATCTCACCTCTATCTTCTGTTTTACTTGGAGGCCACCCTGTCCTCTTGCTCTTCTCTGCTCCTTTCTTCCTATCTAGCTCATTTTGCCTTCTGTGCCCCTTCCAATGACCCTCTGTCCCTCTGAGAGAACTCTGGCTCCTACACCTCCAAAGGTGGTCTCTGCCCCTTGTTTCTTTCCTTTCCCTTCACCCCACTCCCTGGCACTGCTTGCTCCTGCTCTCTGCCTGAAAGGCTGGACAGCTGCTGGGCTCTCTAATTAGCTGCCTGGCTGCAATCCCAGAGCCAGGTATGTGTTAATGTAAGGAGCTGCTGTCCCTCCTCCCCGCCAGTAATCCCCTCTGCAGACCTCATCAGGCAGCAGCCAGGGGCCCTAGAATCCTCATCACAGGAGATCAGCAAGCCTCATCCTGTCGTCCACAAAGTGACCAGGAACGTATGTGGGTTCTCACCATAGGGTTCCGCAGGCTACCTCAGCACACCACGCCTTCAGGAGCAATGGGAATCCGGCCTTAGGTTGCCTTAGCAGCGCAGGCAGAAAGAAGCCCAGAAGGTCTTCTGGAGGTCAAGTCTGGATTGGCCCAAAATGTGACATCAGAGGTCTATTTCTCACAGCCTTCTGCAGCCAAGATGCCCCAGAGATTTCCAAACAACCAAGGAACCTACTCTAAGAAGTCCTGTTTACACAAAGTATAGAATTCCAGTAGTACTCGCTGCATGCCAGGCGCTGTACTAGGTGTGAATAAAACAATGCTCCTGCTCCCTGGAGCTCACAGGCTGGGGAGAAAAAGAATGCCATCTAACACCACAGAATTTCTAAAATTATGCCACAAAAAAGGGGGGGAAGGGCATGATGGAACAGAAAGAAACTGGACTCTCCCTCTAGGGCAAGTTTTAAACATCTCTAAGGATGTAGCTTTTGGTACAGACCAGAAAGATGAGAAGAAGCCATATTTTGGGGACAGCAGGCAGAAGAATTGTAAGCGAAGAGACCTGGAATTAGGTAACAGCTAAACAGTTTGAAAAATAGCAAGGGCAAGTAGCTCAGTGGCACAGTGCTTATACAGCATCTGTGAGGCCGTGGGTTCAATCTCCAGCACTGTTAAGGAAAGAGAGACAGAAATAGGATGGAGTGGCTGGTACAGGGCTGGGGGCAGAGGCGAAGTAAGCACTGGACCAGCCTAATCAGCCAGGAGCCACGTTTCTGAGACTCAGGAACTGGCTTAGGGATGCGTATGGTCCAATCAGAGCTGATCCGATCAGAGTTGGTCCTGGGGCTTTTGTTGGAATTGCCAGAAAAAAGCATTACACATGAATTATAAGAGGCCAGGGTTATGAACTAAGCCCTGCACTGGGTCCCAACACAACAGGCTGAAAGTCAAGGTGGATTCACTCTTCCTTAAGCTCCATATCAGCAAATTCAAACTTACCCTGCCCTGAGAAATCAAGATTAAAGTGATTACAATCAAATTTCTCAAACAGGCCAATTTCAACTGGCACGATAATGAAGTTCCTGTGCTTTAAACCTTACACAAAAGAAATCACCTATGATAACTCAATGTTGACTAATCAATTTTTTTCTCTATTGTTCTATCACCACCCTATGGGAAACAGTGGGTCTGAAATGACCAGTGATGCGGTGGGGGAGCAGGGGGTTAACAATTCGCTTTTTTTTTTCTCTAGCTCCCCAGACTACTAGGATTACAGGCGTGAGCTACCATGCCTGATCCTCCCAATTATTACTATTATTTTTAAGAATGATCTGAATTGACTCTGATTTTAATTCTAGACTTCATTCCATAAAGTACAAGTATCCCAATGGGCCAAGCAGAGGCTGGTTTTATAAGACTGAAGGTTTGGGCTGGGAATTTAGCTCAGTGGCACTGCACCTGCCTCATAAGTGCAAGGTCCTGAGTTCAATCCCCAGTACAAAAAAAAAAAAAAGACTGAAGGTTTTATAAAGGTTGAAGATAGTAGGAACAAAGGAACAAAAGCAGATTGGTCAGAGTCTTGTGTATGTTAGGCAAGTGATCTAATACTGAACTACATTCCTTCTAAGCAGGGAGGAAAAAAACAACAGCAACGTAACTGATTAATTAAATTTGGATTATTTTACTTTACTTCTTTTGGTTCTTAATAGAAATTAAGGCAGAAGCCAGGTGGGCTGGCGTATGACTATAATCCTAGAGCTCTGGGGAGCTGAGGCAGGAGGATCGCTAGTTCAAATCCAGGCTAGGCAATTTAGTGACTTGGTGAGACCCTGTCTAAGTTTAAAAGGGC